TCCCTATATAGCAATTGTTTCCTAACTCCATCTCCAGTGTTTTCCTTGTGGAGCATTGAAGCAAAAGGTTCCAGTTTTCCCCCAAATTTGACTGCAAACTTTACACGGTCAAAACAAAACGTTACTCACACAAAGAACTTCAGAAACACATTTTCAATTCTTTATTTTCCACTGAGTTAACAGCCCACTCCAATAAAGCAGCCCACTCTCCCAAAAAAAAGAGAGCAAGCTCCTCCATTCTCAGTGTACTTTTTGAAACGTTCTGGAACTGGAGAACAGTGAAATACACAACAGCAAATTTTCTTGATCAGAAACTTAATTCAATACGACCAAACCATTCCAAGATTCATCCTCTTATTCTCTAACCTTTTACAAACTTCTGGATTGTGCATTCTCCCTAACATGGGACTCTCCTTATACCTGACTCTTTGCTTTGTTATCACTCACAAAATCTTTATTCCAAGTACATACCTGCGCTCAGAACCTACGACCAACAACCCCCCGTGAAAGCTTCCAGGTTCTGCAGCAATACAAACCCTTCAGCAATAACTTACAATTCATACCTTAAGCTTGGTTTTGTATTCATGCAGCACTCCCTTCCACAAGGACACCCCCAGCACTGTGCTGAGCAGCTGCTAATTGTGTAACAAATGTATAATGCACTTCACCTGTTAACACAGTGCTTTTTTTTTCCGCCCCTTAAGGGTGAAGTTTGCCTATTCAGGGGATCCACTTTGGCAAAGTCCCAACATGTTGAATGCCATCAAAATACAGACCCAGAAAACTGCCTCTGCTTCACAAAGCTTAGAGAGCAAAAGTAAACCTTAAAAGCATCAAGGAAAGAGCATAATTTTAGTTAGCATAAGAGAGTGGTCAGCAGAAGCCTACATTGAGCTAGATTTCAGTATTCTAGAAAACAAATTCTTAACTGTGTAGCTTTGTGTAAATTCCTTTAGCACAGAAAAGCTAGCATGGAATAACCACACAGTGACTTGAAAGGCGTGATGGCACAGTCAGTACAGGGACAAGGGTGGTGATCTTCACGAGGGGGAGAGATGCTAACAGGCGTGGAATTGGTAACTTGTGCTTCAGGCAACAGCAAAGGGAAAGCCAATATGCTTCTGAGGCCTCTCGTTCTTAACCAGTACAGCAGACTGAAATAACGGGAGGACTGATGACAAGACCCAGCTGGACAAGCTGGTGGTAGCATGCACAATGGTGATTCGAGAGATGAACTGCATCCACAAGGGAAGAGCACTCCGCTGGCCTGCGGAGTAAGAGCCACGCGCTGAAGCAAGACACTGAGGGCAGAAATACATAGAACGGAGGGATCAGATGGATCATCAGCATGGACACTTGAGGGATGAATGTGAATGACTGAGTGTGTGCCAAAAAGCAGTGCTGACAAGGACAAGCGATGGTGAAAAGCTGCAAGGATGAAGCAGGAGCACAGAAAAAAAAAAAACAACAAACAAAAAAAAACAAAAACAAAAACCAGGATAAAGCTGTTAAAAGGAGGCTATAAGGCTTGGAAGTGGCAAACACCTGCACAGTCTGAAACCAAAACAGGAAATAAGAAAGGAAAGCCCTAGTAGGAGGGCAGCTGCGGCAAAAACACAAGGACATTCAGTTTTCTGTGACATATTCAAGTGACTGAGGTATGTAGAAGGTGCCCAGGTGCGCAGCTGGCATTTAGATAGAGTTACAGAAAGTAAGAGAAGACACCAACGGCAGGAGGATGTGTGACACATGGCAGAAGTTAAATGCAGATACAGAGAGCGATACATCATATGAAAGGGAACGGGTGGTGCAGGGATGCAGAATATGAACTTGCTTTAGTGACGGGAGATAAGACTTAGGAAGAAAAAGGAAAAGCAGACAGCTGATGAGAAGCCAATGAACAAAGAGAACAAGAAACCTGTGAGAGGAAAGGGTACAGGAAAGAGGCATCACAGATGAGCAACAGATGACCTAGTCAAAAAATACCACATAGTAGCTTAGCAGCAGTTCCACCTGCCAAACTGCACTGCCAGGGTACGGACTGTGCCACAGGGACTGCCTGGCAGAACTTGTGGAGCCTTTGGGAGAGAGTTACTGCCTGCTAGTGAAGTGCTGTATGCACTCAAGAAGTGACGGAGACTTTCATCTCCCATTTCTAGATGGCATCATGCAGCTTTTTGAATGACTCACACCTGGAGCACCCTTGATTTCCAGAGTCGCCATTCCTGCAGGAATATGTACACATCCAGGGAGAGCCTTGCACATGCTGCTGTTGCGGTGTCTCAGAAAACAAGTGGTGCCGGGCTATACAAGGAATTTCTGAGGTTTGTTTTTTAGAACTGAACTCATACTAGGGCTGGAATATCCTAGTCAACAGTGGAATATCATTGTGAAATATTTCTCAGGTGGGTTCCTTATCTTTCAAAATTCATATTAAAAGGCAGAAAATGTTATTGTAAGGAAGAACTTTTTTTCATCTTCAACAAAGAGCTAAAACTGCAAAATACACAGAACATTTTATCCAAGAAAACCAGAGGGGGGATCTCTTAATTTACAGTATCAGGCTATGAAAAAATAGTATTCCAAAGTATGAAAGCAATGTACAAAAATATGGAAAGACACCAAGACCTTTAATAAAAATACAAAAGTCTTCATAACTTGATCTCTTCATGTGCTTTGCAGTAATCACTAAAAACGGAACAGCAGAGCCCCTTAAAGCCCAAACAGAATTTGAGTTACAAAACACCTTGAAATTCTTAACCTATTTATTACAACATAAAGGCAGAAAGTGTTAATTTAAGGTGCAGGCACAGAAACAAGTTCTCATGTGATAAGAGGCTAACTTACAGCCTAGCTATCACATATTTATTGTAGCTGTCCGGGCATGTATTTTCACCATATGGTAAAAGCAAAATAATCTTAAATAGATAAAAGAAGTATCTCACATTTATACAAGACAAGAGCTTTCATACATGCGAGCAGTTCACAGGCACCTTAGCTTACTTTACGGACATTTGTGCCAATGCCCTTTGCAATCACACTTCTGTGCAGAAGAAACCTCTTGTAGGTGACTCATCACAGCCTGCAAAAGTGTATTAAGGAGCTCACTTTGCTGTACCTGAAAACTACAGGGCATTCCACAAGGATTAACTGCCCCAAGTGCTCAAAACAGTCCCCAAACAACACTGGGGTTACCACTTAACAACACTTACATTTATGAGGTTTATATTGAACCCTTCCCATAGCTGTAATGTAAAAATTTTAAGAAAAAACTGGCTAGATCAAGCATTCTCAACATCGAGTTTTGGGTTTTAAGAAGTACTGCATAAAGATCAGTTATGTGGCTCATCCTCAGACATCTCTTCTCGAATTCAGTCCTCTGCTGAAAAATAATCTTCATCTCTCACTTCTCTGTATTGCATTGAGGCCTCCCCCTCTGGTTCAAACCTGAGCATTTTTATATTCAATCTCTCTGCAAGCTTCTGTGCTGCAAGCTTGGCTACAGCGCCTCTGAGCTGCACTTGCCCAGTGCCCCAGTAGCAAACAGCATTGGGCTGCCACAGATCAGCCTCGTGGCGAAATTACTGCTGCCAGTCCTTCAGGCTTGATTGGTTGCTTGCATTTGCTAATGTCTTTGTTTCCTAAACAAAAAAAAAAAAAAAAAAAAGGACACAGTTAGAAAAAGTGTTCATTTATCATTTTTATCCTCGTCATGAAAAAAATAATATCCTAAAGTATAAACTTGACATAATAATATTAGTAATTCCAGAGCGGGCTTAATTAAAAGTTTTAGTAACTAGCAAAGAAATTTCAGGTTTCTTTTCATGCTTAGACATAACTGTGCTATTAATATTTGAAGACCTTTTTATAAGAGTTGAAACTCCCCACGTGGCAGTCCTTATCTGTGATACACTGATGTCAGCTTTAATAGAACAAGATCAGCCCAGGTAAGAGAGCAGCTGTGCACAGTAACCATGTAGCAATAGCAATGCTTGTCTTTCAGCAACCTCAGCAAAAAATCTGTCCCCATTTTCCAAATAAATTACCTCCCTTAAAGTGCCAAGATGACTAAATTAGCAAGTGCTTTTAAAACAATAAGCGGCAACAAACACTTTTACAGTAGTGTCTCATTTAAACATTAGTTTAGCACTACCTGGCAAGTCAAAATCAAAATCCATCACAACAGAATTTGAAGAACCTCAGAACTCGGACTCTTCAGGCACAGCATAAATAAAGGCAAACACAGATACCTGCGTATTTTAAGAATAACAAATACTGCTAGGCCTTCATTTATGCAAGGGCCGAAACCACTTTAAAGACTAACAGGCAAGGTATACATTGAAATTTCTACTCAGAGGTGAAGTGAGTGCAATGAGGTTAGCATATCAACACACAAAGAATAACACTAGATTTTGTTTAATGCAAGAATAACAGTTTCAGAAGGGATTAGTACATTATTTAATTATATCATTAAAAGAATCAAATACAAGAAAAAGTGCCTTTCCTCAAAGTCTGCCCATCTCAATTTCAACATCAAATTCATCAGTATGAAAAGATCCCCTTATGCTTTCCTTTTTTAGGAGTGATCCCAATTACATAATTACTTTTCAAACCAAATCTTAAATTTGTACCTCATAAGCTTCTTTTTGCTGTATCTGAATTGCTATGGATTCCTCTATGGATAACAGCTTAGCAGGGGAATGGTGAAGTGGTGGCAGCCGAGCTGCTGTGATGTCGTTCAAATGTTTCTTATCTCTAAGTCGTCTTTCTTCAGTAGTAATTGGAGAGCCAAATCCCCCAGGTGATTGACTGGATGAGGAACCATGCGATGATCCACTCTGCTCTCCTGATAATCTGGAAGAGATAAAACATAAAAGTTGTGACCCAAATTTGCAGCACAAGGTTGAACAACTTCAGTTCCCAAACTTGTCATTTTCAACATGTAAGAACTGAAAAGAAATCTGAAGTGTTATGACACCATAAACAAAAAATAAGCAGCGCTCAGAAAAACTAAAAAGATTTCTCTGCAGAGAGACAATATCACAAGTTACTCCTGACAGTGAACAAAAAAGGTACGCCAAATAATTAGCAAGGATGAAATGGCAGCACTCTGGGAGTCACACAAAGTAGCAACTGCTACTGCTACCAGTACAATGTGAATTGTAATTTCTCTAGAGGTGCAGGAAAAGCAAAAGGCTACCTGCTCTTAAAGTTCTACGAGTTCTAGAATCGATCCACAAGAAAGTTTTGCAGTGGTTTAATAGTTTTGTAGCTTAAGCTATGAAACTGTGAAGATTCATGACAATTGTTTCACTGCTTATATTGAGATTCTGTGGCAGTTAATGCTAAAGAGCCAATACATTAACCTTGCATGTCATATGACTTTAAATCTCTTTAATCACCACAAGAAAATAAACCCACTGTGCTTGTTCTGTACCTTTTCCAATTTTATACGTCAATTATTTCACAAAAGGCCTTTCTATTCCATAATACTTACACATTTGTTTTAAATTTGCTTTTTTTTATGACTGGGTTTTTGGCTCTAGACTCTAGAACTTCAATATAATGCGGTGTCTTGGGGTGCAGGCTTCCAAAGATATTGCCCTTATGTTTAGCCACATTCTGCTCTTTTTCCAATACTTTTTCACTATCATCCCCATCTACAATTGTAACTTTTTGAAAGGCATCAACCAGCGCGTCTTTGCTGTTGTCCAAAGCAGCTGTATGTTCTGTACCATTCTCAGCATTGCTCCGAGATACCTGCTGATCATTTTGCAGATGACTGCTTGTGGCTGCCTTGGAGACGACTTCACAGAAAAGATTCTGATCTTTTGTAACAGTCTTTTCTTTATCGTTTTTCCTCTGATTCCTTTGATTTTCCAGAGCTGTATTTGTGGCATCTTCCTCAATACATTCTACCTCCTGCTTTTGGGAAGAAATCTCAGAAACGTCTTTAACGTTAGAGTTTTCATTAAAGACTGAGGAATCTTCACAGTTTAGTGTGTCCTCATTTAGGATAACTTGCTGTTTGCTTGTACTAATCTCCTCTTGTTTCACCTGAAACTCCAACCTGACAGCAGATAACAGCTCAGCCGTCCTTGCCAATTCTTCCTCTTGTAAAATGGCAAGCTTCAGCTTTTCAGCAAAATCGGAGATCTTCTTACCCTTATCTGGAAGTCTAGCAATGAATTTCCTAAGACAAAAAAAAAAAAAAATAATTAACAGAGTATAAACAATCTTATTTCAACCTGATATACAGAACGGTTTTATTAGAATAGCTAACGTGGCAGGTTTCTCATTCTACCATTAAATTTCTTATTTACATTGCAAATCTCTGAAAAGTGGCAAGACGCAAAGCACTTGCAGCCTCAGATGCATACTGTGATAAAGCAACTATTACATCTTTCTCTGCGCAAAGGCGTACCTGCTGCTCTGAGAAGGGCAGCGTACACATATCATTTAGTATTTTCATCCAAGTGGAGTACTCAGATTTTCCCGTCCGCATTCCCAGAAATAACCATAGGGTTGTTACTGCGAACGCCCAGGGGCTGTAAAAGCGCGGAGAGGTGCACAACTGGAGCGATGCCCCGCGGCTGTGACCCTGACAGCCCCGCCCGGAGGGCGCTGCGCGGCCCCACCGCCCAGCGCGGCGCAGAGAGGCTGCAGCGAGGCCGGGCGGGGACAGGGCCCAAGGGGGGCGCAGGGGGACCCGGCCCCGCGCCCTGCGGGGAGCCCCGCATCTCCGGAGGGCGCCGCCGCTGCGGCAAAAGCTGGAAGCCCCTGCGAGGGTCA